ACTCTTCTAATTGTTTTATACATATTACCTCATTTCAGTAGTTACCATTTGATAGCTACTCATATCTCCATTTTTTAAAAATAGACTTTTATTTTTTTTAAGAGCAGTTTTAGGTTCACAGCAAAATTATGTGGAAGGTACAGAGTTTCTCTGTATCCTTTGCCCCCACACATGCACAGCTTCTCCCAGGATCAACATCAGGCACCAGGATGGTACATTTGTCACATGATGAACCTACAGTGACTCATCGTTACCACCCAGAGTCCACAGTTTACCTTAGGGTTTAACTCTTCATATCTCTGTTAATACAGATGGAGAAACTGAGGCACAGAGAGGAGACATAATTTGCCTGAGGTCATACTACCGGGAAATAGCAGAGCCGGGACTAGAGCATAGGCACTTTGACTCCGGAGACTCTACTCCTGCACTGTTGGCGTATTGGTGGCTCTTGATGCATATTTAGTGCTTTCTAAATGTGGCAACATTTTGCTTTGTGTGGGTCAAATAGTGACACTTAAGTGTTGGGTGACTGACTATCTCAATTTACCTAAGACTAATGGCTTTCCTGGAATGTGGGGTTTTCAATTTTAAAGCCCAGAAAGTCCTGGACGAACAAGCACAAGTTGGTAACACTACTCAAGCAATGCCAGCATCTTGGGGCTCACCGTGTAGCCTTTTTAGTTACTAGGTCAAGAGCTGAGCAACCCTAGATCACAGGAGGCTGGGGATGGCCAGGAGAAGGATGAGGGGAAGGGCCAGATCCACTTCTTGTTTCCTTGCTTCTCCACATTTGTTTTTGGGCAGACTGACCAGGGCATTCTACTTGATGTTTTGGAATTAAAACTGCCCAGGCAGAGCAGTGGATCAGATTTTGTGTTGACTCTTCTTGACTAATTATCTTTTGATCGTAGGTGGATGTTTGCTGTTTTTGGAGAGGGGAGTAAAAGAGCCCTGGACACTTGGGCTGGCTGTTATACTTTTTCAGCCCAGAGCTTAGTTAGGTATAATCATATAATGCCAAGAGTGTTTGCTTTACAGCTCAGCTGTGTTGTAGTATCCTGAGCTGTGGGTTTACTGTGGACAAACACATCCTGAAAAGATAGGTGAGGGATCACATTTGTGACATGAGATGGGTAAGGCTTGTTGCCAGCTACAGTCTAGAAATGCCAGAGCACTTCTGCTGGGTGTCAGGGGAACTGAAAGGTCAGCAGGGGCCACTTTCTCTGGGGTCAAGCTAGATCTTGATGGAAAGGGCTGTTGCCTGAGCCTGTTAGCTCATTCATTAAGTGTTTATCAAACACCTATTATGCACCAGGATATATATTCAGAGAAATCTTTCATACATACACACACACGCACACACACACACACACACAGACACACAGACACACACCCCGCCCACCTAGCAGTCTTTTCCACCTCATTCCCACCTACCTCCTATAGGTAACAAGTCATACAATATGTGGCCTTTTGTATCTAGCTTCATTCACTTAGCATAATATTTTCAGGGTTCATCCATGTTGTAGCAAGTATCACTACATCTTTTTTTTCTTCCATTGTATGAATATGCTACATTTTGTTTACCCCTTCATCCATCGATGACATTGGATTTCTTCCACTTCTTCGCTATCATAAATAATACCACTATGAACATTAGTGTGCAAGTTTTTGTGTGAACATATGTTTTCAGTACTCTTGTGTATATATATCTAGGAGTGGAACTGTTGGGTCATATTGTAACTCTGTTTAACCTTTTTAGAAACTGCCCAACTGTTTTACAAGGAAGCTGCCCACCTTTTTACATTTCCGCCAGCAGTGTATGAATGTTCTAGTTTCTCCACATCCTCTCCAGTGTTTATTTTAGCCATCCTAGACGGTGTGAAGTGGAACCTTATTGTGGTTTTGATTTCAATTTTCCTAATTACTAATAGTGTTGAGCATGAGATGCTAACTTTCAGGTCAGCTCTTTCTGTCCACCCCAGCTGTTGTGTTTCCTCCAGAAAGTATCTCCTATTTATCTTCTGCCAGGAGTTACGAGTTGTTTCGACCTCTTGGAGACTGGGTGATACCTCAGTCGGATGCTTTAGGACATACCTTTTGGCAAATTCCAGTGATCGGGCAACTGTGTCTAGGATTCAAGGCACTTGTTCTTCCTGTTGGCAGGTTTGATGCTACTCATGAGGCTGGCACAGCCATTCCTAAGCTCGCCAAACTGCTGGGAAAAAGCCAGCCTCTCCCCTGGGCACCTGAGTGAGCAGGGTCATAAGTTCTTAAGCTGGAAACAGTCTTGAGAAGCCATCTCATTCATCCTTCTACAATAAAACAGAACACCTCATGCCCTCCCTACCAGACTGGGGAGAATCTGTAATGTATTCCTTTAGAAATCCTTGTAGGAAGAAATCCCACTGGCCCCCTACCACCAGCCAGTATTTTACTGGCCTTCTGTGTTAGAAAATTTTTTGCTCTGACCCAAATCCTACCTTCTGCTGCACATGCCAGTTTCTTCTCATGCTTTCCTTTCTCTGTGGATGTGAGAGACAGCGGCTCCCTGCGGGGGGCGGGGGAGGGGGTGCTTCATTCTCTGGTCACACAAAACCTCTTTGGCTGGAGAAGCGCTCACTGGAAGAAGTCCAGACCAAGCCAGGCCCCTCCGGTGGACTTTAAAGACTGAATGACCTTGTCATTTGACTATTGTCTGGACAGTCTGCCTTGAAAAAGAGAACTGACAGGCTCCAGGTTGTATGTTTATCCTGAGGCAGGGCCATTCCAAACTTGTGTTTCAGAGTTTAGAGGTTGCATCCAGCAGGCCTGGTGGGTGGTAATCAAACGCAGGTGGAGACCATCTGGCCAGGCTTGTCCCTCCAAGCCAGCCCTATGAGGGCTGGCCTGCCCACCACAGAGCTGGCCCAGAGAGCACCCCATGTAGAAGCAGATGGTGTACACGTGCATGTGAATGCATGCACACCCATACATGCATATATGCTTGTGTGTACAGCCCTCCATAGAGAGGTGGTGCTGCTAGGATGCTGTGATTTCTCTCTCTGCATCCAGGGGTTCTCCCCGTTGTGCATCCCAAGGAACTGTTTCTTTTAGTCTGTTTCCCAAGTTTTTGCGGTTAGAAATCATGTATTTTTCTTGGCCCAGGATGAAAGCCCTGGAGTAATGTTCTAATACATTTTACAAAGCTGCCTCTAATTGGTGACTGCTTGAAATCTTCTCTTTGACCTAGTAACCCATCTCCTTTTGTAGAGTTTTAACTCTGAGTCTGTCTTATATTACCCCAGGTTTTCACACTCTTCTCATACTTGCAGCCCCTGGGAGGCAGCTCTTCCAGCCTCAGTTTGCCTAGCCTCCCTGAACAGAATTGCCCCCAAACAAGGCAGTTCAGCAAAGGAAGAAAATAATTTACACCACATCCTGCTAAGTGTCTTCTAGCGTGGTCTCCAAATTTTAAGTGTGTACCCTCAAAATGGATTGTGTTTCCCACATTGCTAGATGCCCAGAGGAAATGAAACTGTGGACACCTTTTAATATAATGGGTGACTGTGATGACTTTAAGGATAGAGTCCTTTTCAGTCCATTAGAGAACTTAGCTGTCTGATGACATCCCTGCTGCGGCAAACGCGAGAGGCCTGAGCTCACCCAGGCATACAGCAAGGCTAAGACTGGCATCAGAGCTTCTGTGACTTTGAATCTCTTTCTCTCCAGTCTCTGGGCCTGGCCTCTTGGGGGTGGTGATGATAATGATGATGATGGTGGAATTCCTGGGTTGGGTATTGACTGTGTCACCATCCCTTCAGAATTCTCCCCTCTGACCGCCTGTTCCAGTAGTTTGGCTGGCAAGGAGGTGTGGTCTGTCATTTTAGTTTATGGTTTGTATTTGTATGCTGAGGAGTTTACATGTGTATGATCATTGTGGCTCATGTTTGTACAAGATATAATTACTGAAAATTATGTCATGAACGTATTTTAACTTTTAACCCTTCCCATGCTGGCAGGCCTCCCGAGCTCTCAGGAACTCCTACTTGGACACTTCCCCACACACACACAGTGTGTCTCTCTCTCTCTCTCTCTCACACCCACGCACGCACGCACGCACACACACACACACACACACACACACACCCTCTCCCAACTAGGCCTCGCTCTCTATCATTTCCTCTCTGGCAGAAGTTCATTTCAGGGACTTCCCTGGACACTTAGGGCTCCTCGGCTTTTCCTAGCAGACAGGGAAGCAGGCTTTCCTTGCCTCATCATCACTGTGATGAGTGCAGCCACAGAGACAGTAACCCTCATTATTCTGGACCACCTGGGGATGGGAAGTGAGGGCCGACCGTGCTTGCTGAAGGCTCCAGTGACTGAAGAGAGTACACATGAGGTACCAGGTTTCAGGAAGAGTATGTGCCGATCGATTACTGTACATGGGGTGCTGGGCTGCAGGAACAGTACAGGCCCTCCCAGTATTTGGAATCTGCCCTGGGAACCGTCTGCAAGTGCTGAGTTTGGAGGCCAGCCAGCCCAGCCCAAGAATTGCACCCTTGTGGGTCAGAGTGGAGGTGGAAACAGAGAAAGGGTCTCATATTCATGGAGTGTACAGCAGGGCTTGTATGCTTGGCTAACTAAGTAGGTGCTTGAAGGAATATGGAGCGTGAATAAGGAAAATTTTCAGTAATGGACCCTCAGTCACACAGAAAGGAATGTTCCAGAACTGTAAAATGTGGAACTTGTAATTCAGAGTGCCAGCAGGGGAATTAGATTGGCTGGGCCAAGGTCATACACAAGTACTATAGCTGGCTGGAGGGTGTGGCTAGAGTTCTTGTTCCTTACAGGTTTTTGAAGTCCTTCTTCCCCTCATGGCTCACACACTGGGAGATTCCTCAGATTAGGGGATTTGAATGCTGAGGCCACCAAGAATAAGGGAGAACTTTAATTAGACTTTCAGAACAGTGTTTTTCCTAAAGTAGTTGAACTAAAAAACATTTGCTTTTTATTCCTTTCAGATTTACAGGAACAGATGGACCTAGTGGTTTTGGCTTTGAGTTGACATTTCGTCTGAAGAGAGAAACAGGGGAGTCTGCTCCCCCAACATGGCCAGCAGAGCTAATGCAGGGCTTGGCCAGATACGTGTTCCAGTCAGGTAAGAGCCCCATGAGCTGTCTGGTGTGGCAGTCCTTTGCCATGAGCCTGGTTGGCTTTGGGAACTCACAGGTATGGTTTGATGTCTGCATAGTGACGTTTCCTGAGAGTGTTATACCCTATTTGTATCATGAAGGTGACAGACTTTGCCTAGATTTTGGGGTGGAAAGCTACCTGGGCCATGGAAGAGAAGGATGTGTCACTATGATCTCTGGCAGCAAGTGAGAGTCCATGCCACCGTTCTGACACCCTGAGCCCTCATTGCAGTCTGCCAGCCATGCTTCTGATTCCCAGTAAGCCAAAGGCCAACTCAGCATGGAACTGACTAGCTCTTTCTCTGTCTGCCCCATTTCCCATAATTAGCACAGTCCTTGCTTCCTGCTGCCAGTGTCCTAACCATCTGTTTCTGGGGCCACAGGCACACATGTTAATCTTGACTAAGGCTTGGGTTAACAGTAGAAGGTGGAGCAGAGAGAGAGAAAAAGAAGTGCCAGGAGTTTGCTTCCTCACAGTGAAGGGGAACTGGAATCAGGTAGGACCTTGACAGTCAGAAATATTGTTTGATCCAAATGATTCAGATGCCCTCCAGGGGATGGTCCTGTGTTCCTGTTGCCCCTCTGGAGACTGTTAATATAGAACCTAAAGTGGGGCTTTGTGTTAGGAGCTTTGGTCTCTTGCTCTTGGCTCAGCCTGCCTTTAGTCCTCCTGTGGGATGAAATGTTGGAGTGAAATTTAGTATCTTTTATAGAGGGTTCATATCATCTGAATGTTTGATTAATTAATTGCTCAGAAATATTTCCAATACTACCTCAGATTTTGTTTCTTCGGTTTGGTAAGTAGCCTTCAAACAAAGGCCAAGATACTTTATCCAACTATTTTGCTCTTTGACTGCTTATAGATAGGGGCAGAACAGCATCTAGGCCAGAGTAGGCCAGAGTCGCTCAAAGTATGGTCCTCGAACCTCCTGCATCAGAAGAACCTGGAGGGTTTGTAGCAACCACACATTCCTGGGCCCCACAGGAGACCTCTGGCTCAAAATCTTTGGGGGTGATGTTCTGAGGTGCTTCGGTAGAGACTAAAGTTAGAGAACCATAGATCTATCTGGCAGCTTCTCTTAAGTATAACGACTTTTTATTTCAGCCTGAGTAGGGTATAAATTGGGCATACAGTAAAGCTTCTGAGTTGAACTCCTCTGCTCTCATTCCAGACCCCTTGGAGTCAGTTGTTGGTAGAGTAGCTGTCTCGTAATAGGACTGATATTTAAGTACTATCTACCATTGTGTGTACTATGGGATAGTCCCATTTTAGAGGCTACAGTGGGTCTTTTCTGAGCAAGGTTTCCCAACCTGTCTGCTCATGAGATCTCCTGGGAAGCTCATCAACACACTGATTCCCATACCCTTCTGCAGGGCTCTGATTCAGTTGGTCAGAGGTGGGACTAGGGCATCTGTGTCTTAACCACCTTCTCAGGGAGTCTAATGCTGCTGGTCTGGAGATGGTGTTTGGCTGTAAAAGAACTGTTGACCAAGAGGAAGTAACATTCACAGGGGCAGGGGAAGCAGGCTGCCAGGACCAGCTGGCCATGTGATTTGGTGCTATCCTAGTGTGGTTTGAAGAATCTTTTAAAATCGTGCCAAGAGTCTACTGCCTGAACCCTTTATGTCTCTTCTCGACCTTCTTGGGGAGAGGGGAGGGATGCCTGAAGTTGATTTCGATATAGAACTGTCTTTGGGAAAATAGATATTTCTAGGAAAGGTGGCTATAAAAACTAGTCAACTTCTTGTTTGTATATACTTGTTCAGGTGGATAGAGATCAGAGAAATGTAAAACAAGTAGGTGTTATAAATCACTGTCAGGTGGAGTCAAGCAATGAACTTCTGAAATAGTTTTAATATAGTTATGAAATGATAATGCAAGTGAATGAAAAAATAGAATTTGATTTGCAAGGGTCATTTTACCCACACCGGAAACAACACTAGTGACCATTTTTACAATACTAATGTAATCATTGATTCTTCAAAAATGTCAGCGCTATGAAAGATATGAAAAGGCAAGGGGACGGGGCTGTCCTAGATTAAGGAAAACCTGATCATTTAAATGGATTTATGATCCTCGATTGGATCCTAAATTGAAAAAATAAAAAGGTCATTTTTAGGGCAATTGGGAAAATGTAAGTATAGACTGTATATTAGATAACAGTATTGTGCAACTGTGAAATTCCTTGCGTGTGATATGGTATTATGGTTATACAGCTAATGTCCTTATTCGTAGGAGATAAAAGCTGAAGTATTTTTTAATACAGTGACATGATGGTGCAACTTAATTTTCTAACAGTTCAGCAATGAAGTGTCTGTGTGTGGAGAAAGAAGAGAAGCAAATGTAACAAAATGTTAACAACTGGTGAATCTAGGTGAAGAGCATATGAGTATTCATTGTGCTGACCTTCTAACCTTCTAAGTTTTCAAAAAAAAAAAAGTTATGGCTGTTTCTTGAGTGTCCATTGACTAGTGTGTGTTTCATGGCACCTTCTGCACCTATGGCCTTTTTATGGTGGCTCTAATATGACAGCTATGGTTTGCACCTGCAGATCACTTCCGGCATTTCACAGCAGCAGCAGGATGACTATACTCCTAAAAGTATAATACTTAGTTTTCTGTCTCCCAGATTTTCTATGGTATGATTGTACTACCTACTTAAATAATAGCTAAAACAAATCTACCTTAAATTCTTTTTGTAACATAGAAGGGACTCATAATAAATTATCTGAATAATAGGGAAATAATAAAAAGTATGTGCTAACAGATGTAAGATAGGAGACCATGGCCATGGGCCTGAGTGGTGAGAACAATACGTGCAGTATTCAGTAAAGCCCTGTGAGTTAGGCACTGTGTTATACCAGCTTTACAGTTGTAGAAAGCAAGATAGTATGGACAGGTGAAATAGCATGTTCAAGATCACACATCTAATAGGTGCAAAGGCAAGATTTGAGCCCAGGCATTATAACTCTTAATGCCACTCTCTTAACCATGATTCCATGTTGCCTGTAGCTCAGCTGATGTCAGGGCTGCTGGATGTCTCAGGCTGGACAGTGAGATTTCAGAATCATCCATGTGGGTGATTACACTTGCTCACACGGCCTCTGAGCTCCATGATGCCTCGCTCGGGCATTCTGGAACATTTGGAAAATAGAGGAGGGCAAAAACCATTCATAATTTTACCAAAATTCTCTTAAATCTATTCTTCCACCCATTAACTTTTTATTCATGAAAATATGTATGTAAAAGGTACAGTTTAATGAGTTTTCACAAACTGAACATACCCATATAACCAGAACCCAAATCAAGAAACAGACTAATTCTCCAAAAACCTCCCTTATGCCTCTTTTTAATCACCATCCCTCCCCTTTTCCCCCTTTTTTACTGCCTAATACAGGTCCTTAGCACCATGTGCCTGAACTTGTTGATAATAAGCTAAGTAGCACCCATTTCCACTCCACTCCTCTCTGATGTACTGTCTTCCTGCATGTGACTGCCAGATCATGGGGGCAGCATAGTATGTTGGTTAAGAGCATAGCCCCTGGACCCAGACTGCCTACATTCTTAGCTCTGCCAGTTAATTGCCTCCTGACCTTGGGCAGTATAACCCATTTACTCATCTATAAAGCAGGGATAATAACAGTAACTACAGATGAAGTTATTGAGAGGATGAAATGAGTAATACCTGCAAAGCATTTAGAACAGTGCTTGATATGTATCAAGAACGATATAATATTATCTGCAATTATTCTTCTTCTTCAGTCTTTAAAAACTATATGGATTGAGAAGGTGAGTACCTTGATCTTTTTTTTAGTGACAGTAAAGACCCGACCTAACAGCAAAACCTTGTTAGGAAGGAAGTGCCTTGCTTGTTTCTGAATCAGATGCCTGCCTCAACTGATATGATGACATTTGCCACCATTAACTTTCTCTCACACAGAAAATCAATAATAGTGATATAAGTAAAATTGCATTGTTTGTTCGTCACATTATACATCCAAAAAACAAATTCAGTTCAACTGTGGCTCCTTTTATTTATGTAGTTGACAGTGCCTGTAAAGCCTTATACAAATCAAATTCTATTCTAAATGCAATAGAGACCAAGCAGTTTAGTGGGCCTTTGTAGTAAATCTTTTTATAAGGTGGAGAATCTTTTTATAATGTAAATAACTGCCCTTTATTGTAACTGTTTTGTAAGACTGGGCTTAGGCCTTTCAGGTTTTCTCAGAGCAGGGCACACTCCTGATGCTGCAGACAACCTCCCTTGTGATGTGTAGGCATTGCTCTGCCCAAGTGGTTACACCCTACAGGGGTTACACAGATGCTATTATACAGAACATGTATTTTATGTTTGACGTCTTTATAGACATACCTACATGTGTAACTAGCAGCGTAGTTGTATTTGATGATGTTGCCTCTCCCATGCTGTTCACCTTCAACTCAGTGACTATATGTGGAGCACCACGCCAATTCGCGTATGAGAACATGCAGCTGAGCAGTGTCATCTAGTAAATGGAATGCTTAGACTTGCTCTTCCAGAGCTAAGTGACATCTACAGCTTTACCATACAGGCTTCGAAATGGCATCAGAGCAGTGGTAGGCAAGGAAAAGAGGATGACAAGACTCTGGGGAGTGTAGTGGGGGGTGGCGATGCCCATGCCCGGCTGCAGGGATATGTGAGGGCTGCCTCTGAGGTCTGCTCTGAGCAGTGACTCGGAAGGGTCCTGTAACCTAACCCCGACTTGCCAGAAGTTGGTTGCCTTTTGGTCAGTTTACTCAGAGGTGGAAAGCTGAGCTATAGAGAAAAGGAAGTAGAAATGAGAGAGACCTGGGAAAGAAGACTATCTAGAGAAGGTGAAGGATTCAAGATGTGGGAGTAGGGCAGTTTCGTGTTTATTTTGGTTGGGGAGCTTCTAGTTATAAGAAAATGACAGAAACCTAACTCAAACTACCTTAAACAATAACA